TTACATCTGTAAGGTTTGGTCACCCATGACCTTGGAGGGAAGTCGGGGGACTGTGGTAACTGGGACAGGGGCAGGATAGGGATGGCCAACCAGGGGGGAGGGCAGTAAATTCCATGCCAGTGCAGTTTTCTGCCAACTCCCAGTTGGGTGGAGAACACTATAACTCGGTGTGAAAAGGCCCATAGGTTTTTACTAAATATATACCTTAAAATCTGCTTTAAAAAATATTAGTCTCCAACCTTTTTCCTCATTAATTGCTTATTTTATAAAGCGAAAAAAAAGCCACACTATAACACTGAAGGGTGAGGCCGGATTGTGTCGGGGTCTGAAGCCAGACCCTTGAAAACCCCAAGTCGGGATCTTGCTTTGTCATCATCATCTCAAGCATACGCCCTTGAGCCTGATGCTTTCTTTGTCCTTCCCCCACTCCTCTTCCATGAGGTTATTGCAATCTCGTTTTCTGCAGCGTCCATCACCATGGAGACATAATGAGTCATTTACGACCGAGGGAGGAGAATGGCAGGAGAGACACAATGCATGATGGGAGTGTCCTAGACTCGCTCGCCGTGCAGTTGACATTCTCCCACTCCCCTCCTAGTAATGCTCTGGGGACTCCAAAAGAAGTAGAAGTGAGGCTTTTCCCGATACAGTCATCTGTAGCTCTCCGCAGGGCCCTTCTGTTTCTCCAAGCCCAGGCTGAAACGCTTGTGGGGCAGCCTACAAACAGGACACCCCATCCCTCCCACCCTTCCAAGCCACTGGCCCCTTAGAGCCGTCTTCACAGGTGTCCCCCACTACAGCTGTCAAACGAATAAGTGGATGCTAAACTTTTCTGGCCTGGCTCCCGTTCTACCTGAATTAATGGCCCTTTAGAGACCTGTAAGTAATCCTAGCCTGGTCTGGTCTGGGGCTCTGGGAGATCCAGCCCACCCCTCCTGGGAGGCCAGCTCTCAACTCCTCTAAGTGGGATGAATTACTTAAGGTTCAATCCATTACCTGGGTCTCCGGCATGTCTGCCTTGCTTCCCAGCTTCACTTCCCCCTAACCTGACCTTTAAAAGCAGTGGCCTCTGGTGGGAAATCCCTCCAAATGTATAATTGGGTCATCTGCAGCTGTCCCCGAGATGGAAGAAATCATTTCACAGAGAGCAAAAGAAAGTTTACAATTGGGGGGAGAGGGGGACCCACTGTTCACAGAAGAGGGTGCTTTTTAATATATACTGAAAGAGCATGGCCCAGGGCTGGCATGTAGTTAATGATTTGGGGCAGCTTATTTTATGTGGGATCTAGAGCTTCCAACTTTCTTTTTTAACCAGACACTCCCTTCAATGGCTGTGTGAGGGTCTTTCCTTGTGCCCTAAAAACATTATTTTCCTTGTTTTGTCCTTCCCCAAGACATTGCCTTCATCTCATCCCCAGCCAATAAGTCCTCGTTAGCTGTTCCAGTGTTAAAGTAGTTATTTCTGACTTATTTTGACAGCATCCAAGGGCAGTCTGAAGCTGTATAAAATCTGTATGCCTTTCTCCCATTGCCTTGGGGGGAAATCAAGGAAATACAGTGACGGGGAACAGAGGCAAGGAAGTCAGAATAGGGATTGGTAATGGGAACATCAAATGCCAGCATAGTTTTGAAGGCTGTGCAAAGATCCATATTCTCAAAGGGCAAAATATGATTCAGAAGGGGGGTAGGCTGTTGGGAACACCTTAAACCAATATTTGCCTTTTCCTGTGAGTGTCCCATAGAGGACAGCCTCTTCATCCTGCCAGAAGACATGGCTACATTAAGGGGGTCCTGGTGGGCGTACCTTCCCACACATGGAATCACATGTTGGCCTTTGACCCTGGATTTCTACACAATGCCAATAGTTTTATGCCAATTCAAGAACAGGCGGAGAGAACTTCAATTTAGCAATGGGAAATACTGAAAGCCTAGGAATCTGCTAAAGAGGACAACCACTGTATCTGGCTTACTACATTAATATTAATTATTATGCTATCTTGCAGCATATATCTGGATTTCAAGCACAACAGTTTCTGAGTCCTACCTGGAAATATATCAGAAATTAAATATTTTGCCTTAAATGCATATGCTTTACTGCATTCTTATGCCCCTTCCATTAATCTGTTGCTTTCTGTAGAGTGGATCAGACATGCTCCTTCAGATCATTTAACAAACCTAAAGGATATTCTGACTCAGCACAGTGTTAGAACTTAATTCTAGAGAGAAGGCTGTTGTTGATAATAACATAATAATCAGCATGTCTGACTCATCACCATTTGTGAAGTGCCTACCATGTTCTGAGCAGTATACAATTTTATTCAGCTTACAGAGGACTAGTCTCAATTTTGATACAGCACAAGAAAAACACCACAGAAATATGGGGAATGAAGAGGTAAATGTACCTCATTAGGGCATTGAAACCAGCCCACATACATTTTCATTTACACGTAGTCCCTGATTTAAGAACGCCTGGTTTACAGACGAGCCATAGTTAAGAATGGAGCCTATTGTAGCAAAATTTGAGTTAAATGCACAATGATTTGAGTTAAATGCACAATGGTTCAGGTTAATTGCACAATACTACTTATACAGTATTATACAATAATACTGTTCTGGCTTACATACAAATTTGACTTAAAATGATCTGAAGGAGCATGTCTGATCCACTCTACAGAAAGCAACAGTGAAGGAGCATGTCTGCTGTTCTGGCTTACATACAAATTTGACTTAAGGACAGACCTTGGGAATGGAACTCATTCTTAAACTGGGGACTACCTGTTTTCTTACAGAGGTCTTGTGAACTGCGTCTGCTGATAGAACCTGCTGGCGAGCCCCGTGCTATAAAGCCTCCGCCGGCTTTGAAGACAGCCGCAGCCAAAAACTGATAGAAAACCATGAGTGGCATCAGAGAATAACAGCCACTGTTACTACAACAATGGACTTCCAGTACCCCCATTGTGGTAGACTCTACGCTTCCAGAGTGGGACTGCAGAGCCACCTCCGTGTCCACAGGTGAACAGCATGTCTTCTTCAAACCTGAAGGACTACCATATTATCTCCATGTTGTAGTGATGATGTTGAAATTGAGACGATGGGTTTCTTAATGCCAATGAGTGAATCTATTGTGAGATTTGGACCGAATCGTGAAGGTATCTAGTAGTAAGGTCTAGGAAATGGATTCATCTTTGATGTAGTTAAGCAGCAGGGAATATTCAGTGGTGAAATATGTCCCAAGGGATTTTCAACGTTTGTCAATATCAGAGGTTGCACTTATATAAATGAGTATAAGAAACATGGAAGGGGAATGACTACTGGACCAGGTTGATATCACAAAAACAACAACAACAACCCAGAAGCACCAGTAGTGCTGCAGGGTTTTTATCCACTGCAGTCCCAATACGGTACAGGCATATAGAATTTATTTTTCCAAAAATTACAGATGTGTCAGTTATCCTCTCACATATCACACTGACAAGCCCTTTCTTTCCATATAATTTACCCAGAGATATGGATATAAACATCTGTTAAGGGCAGGTTTTGTTTGTTTCTGTAAAGAGATCCACTTTTTACTCTTTTGTAAATGGTTTTGCATAGTTTTAGACACTGCTTGAAAAACATTACTTGTTGTAGAATAGAGGTTACAGATTCTAAGCAGCTGTTTTGCACCAAATCCATTGTCCAATGAGAAGCAGATAATTGGTAGACTGAAATAATATGTATAATTTATGGAAGAATAATGAAATTCCCACAATGGAGGAATGGCCTGTGAAAATGTCAGAATTTGCAGAAATGGCAAAACTGGCCAGTTTGGTCAGAGAACAAACAAAAACTTTTTTGAAAGACTGGAAACCTTGTATGGACTTTGTGTTGAAAGAAAAAAAAAAACAAATCGATGATTTATGGATTTGAAGATTAAGAAAGATGTGGATTAAATCAGGGGGTGAGGGGATTTGTAAAATATTTAAGAGGGAGGACGGACAATAAGATCGTAACTATCTGTCGAAAAGAAAGTCAGAAGTCATTTATATATTTCTTAACTTTGTTTTAGCTATTACTTCCAGCAATGAACTACTTTCAGAGAGTTTTACACTAGAAGATGTAGTTATATCCTTATTCAGCTGTTCTCCTTAATCATGCCTGGGTTAATTTCAAATAGAACTGAATTCCCAAAACACACCTTATATTCAGCTCAGCAGCTGTGTTGCACTACTTTGAATCTAGAACAGAGTTCAAAGGGCCTTGTGGGGAACAATTCTGACCCAGCTCTTGTGCTAAGGCCTGGCTCAATTAGTGCTGAGGTTGCGAGTCATTTGAACTACCTTCATCCTTTGAAGAGTTGCCTTCAGATGAGACCATGACACCCTGGATCCTGTGGAGGGTGCCATCTTATTGGCAGTGCCCAAGTGAGGTTCAGCTGCCAATCCTATTGGGTCTGGGACAGGAAAGGTTAGAGGTGTGGTAAGAAACTCCATCATGCAAAGTGTCTTGGGCATGCCCTGGGATTTCAGTTTGGATGAAAGGATGAAATGATAAAAAGACAGTTAACAAAACAATAAAAAGACAACATGGTCTGAATGTGATATGGGGCAAGAGACCGTGAGAAGAAAGCACAATCTCCATACAGTGAGGTCATGCAAAAGAATTAATCGGCCTTGGGACAACAAATGATGGATGCTCATTTGAGAAAAAGATGCAGCTGCCTATAACATGAAGAAATCTTCATCTTGGTGATTTTGGGAGAAGCCGTTTCCAGTCCGGTGGAATTTTGCAGAGATAATACTGGTTTGCATAAACTGAACCTCTCCCGCCCACTCCCTGGACCTCTGCCGAGCCCAGTACTAAGGCAGGGGGATGGGAGTGGCTACTTTATATGATCTGATATTTGTTTTCCCTCCCCAACTACCATGCTGAGTTGCAATCAGGATGTGATGACGACAGAGAAGTTGGAGCATCAGCCAGAGCGGGATGGACCAAGCAGACCGAGCGGAGCCTATCCCAAACAGCAAGTGTGCGCAGCTTGCAAATCAGGGAGCTGGTCAAAGTGTCCTGGAATTCTGAAGAGAACCCACAGCCTTGAACTGCTTGCCTTACCAGGTACATCGTCATGGAAAGTTTGCATGTTGTAGTGGCATGGATTTATGCATTTCTATTTCACCTGTTTGCTGAGAAGTGGATACCTAACGTGTGTGGAGGTTTCCCCTTTAAAAGATACCTACTGTAACATGAGAAAAATGTACAGGACGCGTGATATGCAACCACAGACTAGAAGAAAGGCCTTTAGACTCAGTCTTTGATAAATGAGAAGCGCTTCTGTATTTTTTGCTCTTTGTTTATTTCGCTTTTACTCTTGCAAATATCCTCCCAAAGTTAGGGATTTGCTTTGTGTTTTGGTCTAAATGGCCCCAAGGCCGTCTGAATACAATCAATGAGAATCCACCAAGTTGTACATTTGAACTGAAGGCAATGACTGATTGGTAAAAATTATTCCAGCCCTCATCAACTTGGTGGATTCCAACTCTCCTAATTCCATTCCTACTAGTTTGGTGAACTAGGGTTATAGTGAGCAAAAGCTGAGTAGTATGGATGAGCCAGCCTCAAGGCAAACAAGGATACATTTCTTCTCATTTTATACGTTAGAATTAAACTGATGTTGAATTTCTGAGATACTTTAGATGTACGGTTTAACAACTTTTATTCTTGTTATAATTAACTATTTTACATCATTATAGTTTACAGACTGCATTTTATCACTTAGATAGCTTAGTAGTGCTGCAACAATTGTACTTATAGAATTAAGAGCTGTAATGTTTTACGTCATGATGTTGGTAGTATTAAGTTTCATTTACTGTGGAAACGTCTGTAATTCTTGGATCAGGAGGGTTATGTCATTGTATACCAGTCTTTGAAATAATCATTCTTTGCTTGTTTCCTATAAAGCAAAATGGGTCAAGGTACTGTGGAGATTAAATAGCCAATTGGGACACAAACATTCAGCAAGCAACAGTTGCTTTACATTTAATTTGGTTGCACCTTGGTACCATTGGGAAAGAGAGTGACTCATTCTTAAAGTTGGTCTTTAAAAAGCAAAGCTACAAGATAAAAGTGGAACTATTGATCCTGCAGGACCTGAAATATGGGGCCTAAACCAATTTAAAAAATAACCACTTTTAAGAAACAAGCAGTTTGGGGGACAGTTAAGCATGATAGGCTTATCTAGGTAGAGACCCTTAACTTTACTGTGCCTGGCTCCCTCTGAATTCACTGGATTTTAAAATGAAAACAGTAAGCAAACCCTTAGCAGAGGCTTTTCCAATCTTCATAATACTGTAGAGGAGGCTGGCACTGAATTTCTGCCCCATCAGACATCTGTTCTTAAGGCCCAGGCCTGCTGCTCGAGAAAGAAAAAGGGGGGGTCAGCGCAGATGGCCTGGCTCCTCCTAGCACCCTTTGCTCCAGCCTGCTAAAACTGTGTGGTTCTCCCTGCCCAGCCTCAGGGGTCCAGCCCTCTCAATGCTTTTGTTCCTGCTGTTTTGCCTCCTCCTGTTATTTTAGCCCCAGCAGGGTGGGAGGTTAATGGACCTGTTGTTTCCTGTTTCCCCCCTCCCAGGGCTTTGAACTGACAGGGCTGGTACGAGCATGGGGAAAGCTCAGGAAACAGCAGCAGCCCAGCAGCAGCCTCACCTTGGAGACCCTTGTTTCTTTCATCTGCACCAGGCCCAGCTCCCAGCTGCACACGTACAGTCCAATTCAGCGGAAATGTAGGTCATGCATTTGAGTCTCACAGAGAGTTCCTTTGCAGGTTGCAGTCTCAATTACCATTGGATGGTTGTATAAAGACACCATCTTCTTTTCTGATCTCAGGTCAGACCTGGCATTTCGGCCAGAAGAAGGGAAAGCAAATCTTCGATTCCTCCACACACACCCCACTTCTTTCTGGAGCAAGTGATCTCCCCCGGCAGTGAAGTAGACTCTTTTTGCAAGGAAGGAATTTTGTCTTGTGATCCATTCCCTGTATGGCTCAGAGCTAGAATGTAATGCAACGCATTCTTCTCTTCTGCTCCACATTTTTAGTTCCCAGATGTCAGCCATCAACTCACATGTATCAGACGGGACCGATGGGACAAATGCAGAACCCACCCGGGACACAGCGGATGCCACGCAAGTCACTCCTGATTCAGGTGAGTGATCTGGCAACCCTAAGCAGTTTATAGTCTTCTGGATTGCCCAGAAACCTTCTGGATTGCCCAGGCACTACATATTTCTTTCTCTTCATCTTCTCCACAGAATATTCTCTTGTAGAAAAATGTTATTGCTAAAATGTTAGAGCCACTTTGAGGTCATGGTTAAGGCACCAGGCTAGAAACCGGAAGACTGTGAGTTCCAGTCCCACCTTAGGCACAAAGCCAGCTGCGTGACCTTGGGCCAGTCACTTTCTCTCAGCCCTAGAAAGCAGGCAAGGGCAAACCACTTGCAAAATCTTGCCAAGAAAACGGCAGGGACTGGTCCAGGTAGTCGCCAGGAATCCAGACTGACTCAAAGGCACAAAAAGAAATAGAAAAAAAGAGACTCACTGTGGGGGGAGCTTTTCAGTTGGCATAGCTATGCAAGTAGATTTGTGATGCTCTGGATGGAGGGATATCACACAACGCACCCTCCCCAAAAAGGCTCGCCTGGCATCACAATCCTTTTGGCACCAAGTAAAGACCTCTGCATTTCTCTGGACATTTTGACAACCATGCTAGCGTTTTTAAAACTTAAGGCTTTATTTGCTACTTCTGTTACTGGGACTTTTATGTCATATTTATCACCATTATTAGTAACACTCCTGACTTTTATATTATTGTGCTGCTCTCTGGGTTGTTTTTCGTATTGTTAAAATATACATATGCATATAAAAGATAAAGACTCCCTTGAGTTGAATTCATATACCAATAATATGGAAGTGGTTGGCCACTGCCTTTTTCCAGGCTGTTATTTTTTTTTTAGCTTAACTAACAATTCCAGGATTGGTCTCCCATTCAAATATTAACCAGATCCGACCCTGCTTAGCTTTATTTGAGATGGGCTAAGGTTGCTAGGTGCTGCTGTCTGGTGCACGTGTGTTTTAACTGACCTGTATGCCACACAGAGAACTATGTTATCAGGTAGTCTAGAAGCACAATAGACAAATAGGTAGATACTGAGAGATAAATTCATGGACAAAAGATGGCAGTGCTGGTCCTGATGTATTGGATTACAACTCCCATAATCCCCAGTGACCATGGGTGTTCTAAGAGGGACTGGTTTCTCGGGGAACAATTTTGTTGCTGTACAGAACACCAGAGTTGGAATCAGGCTGGCATGACACATTGGTCCACTAAGGCAGTACAGTATTTTCCCCAGAAGTCCTATTGATATGAACATAGCAGTCCCAAGAGCACAGCAGTTCCAATTCCCAGTTCAATCACGTTGTGTCTGTTTGTTGATAAATAGAAGATGGGTACCACTTTTAGGCAACCAACATATTTTACACAGGCTGCCTGTGACATAGAGCTTAGCAAAAGAGTGGGGAAGCTATGGGCCTCTGATGGTGCTAAGCTACAGTTCCCAGCACCCTTGATTATAGGTGAAGGATGCTGGGAATTGCAGTACAGCTACACCTGAAGGATCATATTTTCCCTACCAGTAGCTCAGCATCTTCACAGCAAGACATTGTGAGAGAAGTGTGCGTGTGGAGGCAAAAATCTGTACATTCCCAGTGACTATATTTAGCACTCACAATGAAAAAGTCTTTTTCTGGAAGAGCGAGGGATTTTTTTGATGGTAGCACCATTTCCTCTAGAAGAACACTGTGCCTTTATTGTACAGCTATTTTTAAGTATACATTTCTTAAACTAAGTGGTAGAATGACAGAACCCATTGAGACTAATTTACGGTAAGTTATTTGGGGATTTAAAGTAATTATTTGTCACTTTCTACTTTCTACAGATTTCTACTAGGAAATTGTTCTCTATAAAGAAACCTGGAATCATAATTAAGATGAATTAAAATGTTTATTAAATGCCCCTTAAATCACTTTGATGTTTTCATTTATTATGTTTGTTAAAGCAACTTTTATTATGACATGTATGTGATAATTTACATTATTTATTATAAATGGTTTGGGGATGCTTTTGATAGGCACAGTTTTCCTAAATAAATGGTGTACAGCAGGAAAATATTCTCAAGGAGAGTTGCTGGATAGAGAGTGGGATTAAAGGAACTCCCACAATACCACTCTTTGTATTTCCCAGTCTCACAAAAGAAGAACAAGGAGCTAAAATCACTGCCCTGTAGCAACTAAAGAGGACAGAACACCTTATAGGATCTTGCCAATTTCACATCTGCTCTCTTACCCAGGGCTACTGAGGAGGAGATACAATGCTGTCAAGCCAGTGTTCCCTTACTCAGCCCTGCTAGGGCAGCTGAAACTCAGGAACCAGGAGGAGGAGTAAGGCAAGGCAATACTGAAAGAGCCCTCCCCCAGGCCTCACAAGATCCAGCATTTCCAGCTGAAAAGCAGCTTCAGAGAGTTTCCTCATGCATTGCAGTTGAGTTGGAAGTGTATCCGCTCAGCTGCCAAAGAGGGACAATGAGTTGGGAGCAAAATTCCCTTGTGTGGAAATGCTTCAGGATGAGTTGTACTTTTCAAATTAGATGGTAGGGTGGTCAAGTTGGCTGGGATGTCAAATGGAGATGAACATCTGTCTCTGAAGGTGAAAATCTAAGTTGTACCTTCCTCTCATTGAATAACAAAACAAATCATCCAGCTGTGTATCTTGGTCCACTGTCCCCCATAAGCCAGTTGGGCTGTCCCTCACACAAAAGATTTGCACGTGGCTGGCATTAGTTGGCTTTGCTTCAGAGGGCATGACTTCCTGACAGGCTTTGTTCCTGGTATCTCTCACTTGGGAAAGGAAGCACTGCTGCATAAAGATATGATCCATGCTGGGTCTCAGGGCAGAGGCATGTGGTACCTGGACAAACAAGGACTTCCAAATGCCCATTTGCAAAGTCAGAAACAGCAGGCCTGAGAGACATTGTGTCATCTTTTTCTTCTGGCTTATTTCCATTGTCAGAGCCCAGTCTGAAGGAAATACAGGTGAAATTCACCTAAAAAACAGGGTGATATGGAGGGACTGAAAACTGACAAGCAAATGTCAGGTTTCCACCCCATTATTAGAGGTTCATATTGGCCTCGGAATTCACCAGTCTTCTCTTGCAACAAGCTGCTGTTCTTGGAGACATCCAGTGCTTCTCTGCTAAAATGGGAGGAATCAATATAGAATATCAGACGCAGGAGGTCTGTGGGAAAAAAAGGTGATGAGGCAGAGATAGTTATGGACAAAAAACTGTAAGCATTCATTTGGTAAGCATTCAGTTAGTGTGACGTGGTTTTCAAGTGAAAAACAGCTGCAAAATATCTGGAAGAGGAGCCACAGTATAATCAAAGCCTAATTCCTGTCTCTTTTTCTCTTTCACGGGAGGCGAGTTGAATCAGAACAGTTTAAACCTTTGCCCTGTCATGTTGCTAGTCCACTCCTCTTTTTTCTTATTGTCTTTCAAAATTATTATTAATTGCATGACTAAGCCTCAGTTTTGCTTTGGCCTGCTTTAGCTGCAATAAACTGAACTCATTCCCTCTATCACTTTTTATTTATTTCAGAGTCCCTTACTTTCTGTAGAATTAAAAACCAAGAGGATTGCATTCACTGACTAAACTATGCTAGAAGAACATAGTAGTCCTACTAAGGGTTAGCAACAGCTTGAGATATATCTCAGCATTGTTGTGCATGAGATAGTAGGGTTGTGTCAGTCCCTAGAGGTAGGTCAGGTCAAAAAACACACTCCATAAGGACTACTGGAACTCTACCTTATTGTTGCAAGGTATCATAACAGGACCTTGACAGCCTGACAGAGCTGCTCTCTTCCTCCTGTTATACAAAGACAATCAGGGCAGGGCAATCTTGAGTTTCTTTCTCACTCCGTCTTCTGTTTCAGAGCTGAGCTAATGTTCATGTAACCGCCCTTGCGTTCCTTCTTCAAGGTTATGTCCATATGCTTCTATAGGTTGTGTGAGACACAACCCCTCGTGTTAATGCTTTGGAGAAAATGGATATTCTTTCTACTGAGAGCTTGAGTCCTGTCCTCACTTGCACCTTAGCATGATGCAGCAATACCAGTTCTCTGTCTTGTTTTCATCATATTCCTTTCATCTCATTCCCAGCCCATAAATGAGACTGGCTTCAGTCATCATTAGTGGTAAAAGTAGTATTTTCCCCCTTAAGCTGATGCATTATACATTGTCAAGGTGTCTAAAACCCATAATGCCTTGACTATGAATTCAGGTGGCCAGTAGTGGGTGTGATCAGAGAAGTATTGTGCATACCCCTTCCCCTCTGGGAATTACCCAACCTCTACCTCAGCCATTTCTCTCCCATTCTTTGGCCTGGCCATTTGCATTTCATTTCCTGAGCTCTTTTCATGACTGTCACCTCTCCCTTTCTCTGTTTTTGATTCTACTCCTCTTCAGGCTTCCATCAAGGAAGAAAGAACAGATCTCCATCTTTTCATTTGGGGAAGAAGAGGGCATGAGTTTGTGTTTATTTGCCAGCTTCCTTGTATTGGTCAGCTTCAGTCACTGAGTGGTGGCCCAGAGGCTAGTCAATTTAAGTTCTCCTGCTCTGCAGGACCTCTTCATGGCAGGTTGGCCTCCCACCGCTGCCTTGGTATCTTTCCATATGTTTCTTTATTTCGTATTATTTTTATTTGAGAGATGCCAAAATGAGCAGGAGGAAGAGACAAACCAACTGCCCAGAGTTGCTGGGAGTTGGGTGGCACGGAAATTTAATTTATTATTATTGGTCACATAGTCAGCCAGATGTTTAGACTGGATTTGGCATTTTTATCCACCTATCAAATCCTTCCCAAGGACCTGAGATATGTTGTTGTTTGATGGTGTTAAAGGTATTGTCGCAGGATGTAAGCTGTTCCAAGTAAAGCTGCCTTTTGCAATTGACTGATGGTGATTTTGTCAATGCTGATAGTCTACAAGTGGTACTCCAGATGTTTTGGGATTGCACCCAAAGCGCCTGTTACTATC